CTGGCCCGACTTGCCGCCGTGGCGCCCGCGCCTGCGGCACTGGAGAAGGGGGAGCTTCCCCGCGCCCTGCAGGCCGAGAGGGATCTGAAACTTTTTCAATCCGCCTGTCCGCAGAGGTCTCTAAGGACCGGACTTGGTTGCAGAGAACTGACGCTCAGTGGCGAGGAGCGTGGCTTCTGGTGTCAGATCACTTGAGTTCGAATCCCAAGTCCTCTGCTGTGCCGTGTAACTGTAAGCGATTGCTTAACTTCTTTGTGATTCGCTTTTTTAATCGTAGTAAAACGAGGCTAACGGTACCACCATAGGGCTAATGTGAAGACGGCAAAGATCTCAGAGTGCAAGAGGTGACTCGTAACTGTTGTCCCGCACGTGATGGATCGCCAATACTGTTATGTACAGAATGTGAGGTTCGTGTACCGGGTCCGCAGGGCAGAGAGGTTCCTGCGCAAGATCCCTGCCCCTCCCCCATTTATATTTTCACTCTTCCTGCACCCTCTGTAGTTGTCCAAAGTATCCTTTCAGCGTCCCCAAATTTCTGAGCACTCTTTGTTGCCTCCTGGAATTTACAGAGTGGCGACTTCCAGCCAAATAGTGTTCACGCTTGCTGAGGCAGTACGGTCTCATGGAAGTCGAGGCTTGGGGAATTCAGCTGAGGTCTCCGAGAAGATAAGTGGGTCCGCCGGGTGGAGCTGGAGTGTCCCCAACTTTGATTCCATTGTCTGTCCAAAGGATGAGTGGAGAGAGTGCAGTGGGGGACGGGGTGGCAGGAGCTCAGACCAAAGAAGGTGGTTCTGGATCTGTCCTCTTTGAAGGAAACTAGTATCTGAGCGCCTCCCCCGCACCCTGGTCAGGGACATAACCAACTCAGTCTCATATCCATGACCTCAAGGGCTCCAGCCATGAGTTACAGGGACTGAGAAGTTTCTCTCCAGACCTGGGGCAATGCTCTTCCGCTAGTCATTCGTTCGTTCCGTTCATTCATTTATTGGTTCGTTCACTCTTTAGTTATTCACTCAACGGATATTTACTGAGCCGTGCTGTGTGCCAAGCACTGGACGTCCTACCTGAGAGACAGTAGCCATGGACTCCCATTCTAGTGAGAAGACAGCCACTAAACGAACTAAATCAACCAAAGTGAGAGATAATGTCAGATCGGGGTAGATGCTGCGGAGGAAATAAACGAGCAGATGTGACAGAGTGGCAGCGAGGGTGTTGAGGGAAGGCCTCCCAGAGGAGGTGACACTGAGCACTCGGCCCTGACAACGAAAGACTTTTCTTCATCACCCTAGCTGTGTGCACAGCCCCCACGGAAGGAGGAAGCTGCTTCCAGGAGGGCTGAGCGGGAGATGTGAAAGGGAAGAAGGGGGCAGCTAAGGGGGTGCCTGCTGGGGAGATGGAGGTACACAACTTGAAGCAGAGGGTCCTGCTGACCCCCACCTTTCCAGGACCTAAGAGAAGTGACCAGAAGTGCAAGGAAGGGCTGGGCTTGGCGTGAGCAGCAAGAGGAGATTAGAGACAAACAGCAAACAGGAGGAGCCTTAGCTTTGGGAGACAGAACGAGCAAAGGCTGGGGCTGAACCAGGCTTCACCGCCCTTGGAATCGCCAGAGGGCTTCAGAGGCGGCGACCTACACCCTGGAAGAGGGACAGAGCGGGAGCGGCTTAGCTTTCAACAATAGATAGATGGATGGATGGATGAAAGGATGGAGGGGCCAATGGACAAACGATTCAATGCACACAGAAATAACCAGCTACACTTACTAGCATCCTCCTCAGAAAGGTGTGTTTGAAGGGACTTAGGAGAGGGGGTAGGTAGTGGTTTTTATGAGGCAAATGACATGCTCAGAATGTTCCAGGCAAGCCTACATGCACGTCCTCACTTATAGCCCACAAGCTCACTCTTTCTGAGTCCAACTCTAGGGTACAATATAGAAAGGTAGAAGGCCTTAGTGATGGTTCCAAGGACATACAACCTCAGTGCACCAGAATGGGTTCTGGCTGACGACATCAAACGCTATGCCTGAGTGCTCAGGGAGTTTAAAATCTCCAGGTGGCTGAGAAAAGATTAAGTAATGAGGCAATAATTAAGCAGGTAATAAAAGCACAGGGCAAGTAGTGGTGAGAGGCAGTTCTCAACGTTTCAGGGAACACGGGCAGTTCTTTGCATTGAGTGCAGACAGTGAAGAAGTTACCAAGAATATTGTGTAAGCACAATTGTACCTGTCTTGAGGTCATTCCTCCCTCCCCTCCCCCCCCACCCCGTGTTTCGCTTCACATAGTCTTCCCCTTGTGTCTAGGGCTGAAATGAGGGAGACTAGAAGTAGAGGGGTTGCTGCCACCATCTGAGTGCTTGCAGGCAGCTTCTGGGCACACGGGACCAGCTCATTTGGAACTCTTTGGCAAAAAATGCGCCTCCAAGCTCCCGGACCACATGGCATTTTCATTCATTCATTCAACACACATTTTACGAGTGCCCACGATGTGGCAAGCCCTGTGGTGAACAAGACAGGCCTGGCCCCTGCTCTGAGAGAACTCACAGTTCTTGTGCAGCCTGGGAGAGGCCAAATGCTCTTAATTTTGTTGCTTGATTCATGGAGAGGGAGAGCAACTCTTTGTCCTTGGCTGGAGGAAACCAAAGACGCTGGGAACTGGTGCCTCGCTGGGCAGTGGAAAGGACCCAGGGTCCCACAGCCCTGGTTTTAATATTTAATTCCACAGATATTTGTGGGGTTCCAGGCACGGCAGAGGCTACCCTGGGGGCATCTCCAACTAGTGAGGTCAAGATGAACACCCACCCCGGCAACCAGACAACCACGAAGTCCAGGATGCAGATGCAGCAAATGAAAGCACCAAAGCAGACTGGGACAGATGGGAAGGTTTTCTGCAGTAAGACTTTAGGCTGAACCCCAAATCATTAGCCAACCAAAAGAGCAGCAGCAGCGAGAATGGGGGATTAAGAACTTGGAAGGTTCAAAGAAAGAATTGAAAGAAACTTCAGTTGAACAGGAGCATTTGAGATGATGGCAGGCTCACCCACTTTTTGCTATCTGAGCTTGGAAAATTAGTTGTTTCTTTGAGTTTCAGTCTACCCATCTGCAAAATGGGCATAAGGTGAGCATTGCCAGATTGTTGGGGTGGCGGGGAGAAAGACCTATAGCTTTGGGCACACGAGGTTCTCAAAAAATTTAAGATCCTTACATGGTTTAGGTCTTTGGGCCAGAAAGGCGTGGTCCGGATGGGTGGGGGAGGGTCTACGGCACCCCAGGCCACGGTTTGCGGAATATCTTTTAAAACGAGCACTTCAAGGTAACGCGCGATGAAAAACAGATGTGGGATCTCACAGTCAGAGGCAGAGCAAGGAGCAGAGATACCTAGGGAATGGGGTGGGGGTGAGGATTAGCCCGGATGACGTTGCGGGTCGAAGCACGATCCCCGGATATTTTTTTTCTCTGGGAGACCTTAGGTGCAGAAGACTGCGTTCTGACCCTCATTCCTGGGTTCTGGGCGCTCAGGACCTCTCTCATTCTCCTTTGCCCTTTCACCTCTCACCCCACTGCCAGACTCCCTCAAGGCGTGTCCTCCATCCTCAGACTTTCTCCGCAGTTTATTGAGGGCTGCCCTAACGGGTGTTCTTCAAACTGAGTCATTCTTCAGCTGGAAACCCATTTCCTCTGTTCTTTGCGTTTTCACTGTCGGCAACGCCATTCCAGGTTGGGGGAGGGGGCTAACTTTAGCATGGGTTCTAAGGCGGGAGCTGCTACGTATGAGCTGTGTGACCTCGGCCAGGTGACGGAACCTCTCTGAGCCTCGGTTTGCTCATAGAAAAATTAGGGACCCCAATCTCCACCACTCATGGTTGTTGTGAGGCGCAGTCCATGATTGGCCGCATGGAAGGGGTTCGACGAACCGTTGAAGTTTTTTTCCCTTGCTGTGGCCGGTCTCAGGGCCCTGACGCACGCGTCCATGCGTCCGCGAGGGAAACCACAAACGATCAAATCAGAGATTAGCGACTACCTCACCCCAAGTGGTGAGCAGGTGACAGCGTGACGTTGGGGCGCAGCCAACGGGTCTCCTAACTCCACACTCTCAACCCGGCCAGCCAGAAAACCCCCTGGGCAGGGCGCAGACTTGAGGCGTGAGCGTCTGTGTCCCAGGCTGGGAGAAGTGAGGGGGCAGCGCTCTAAAGCTTCGGAAGCCTGACCCATTCCAGAGTTTCTCCTGGTGGCTGAGTGAACACAAGCCCCTCGGCACCCTTACAGGGGAGGGAAATAGTTAACCAGATGTGAAAGTGGCCAAGCCCAGGACGAGTGCTACATGTGTGTGTTAATTTCATGGACGAACCGAGAGCGGGGAAGAGGGTTGGAAATACAGAGGAAAAGGCATCGGTCCAGAGCCCCGCAGCTGCGCTGCCAAAGTCGTGAGGAAGTGTGCAAACGACTCGCCTGCACCGAGGCTAGCGGCCCAACTGACTGCAAATGTCAAAACCTGTTAGGTTTTTTTTCTTTAATCTGTCACTAAAGTTTTGCATGCCCCCCTCCCCTAGGCCAAAACGATAATTCTCAGCCTAGCCTCAGAAGCCCTGAGGGCCCTGACACCTCCCCACCCGTTCTAGAATCGGAAAAGTCCTAGGGTGTCTCCGGGTTGAATCCTCTGTGAGCGATTTATTAGCATCTCCATAAGAGAAAAAGAAAGGGCAGGGACAGTGGAAGGGTAGTAGAGATAGAGGAGGAAGCTGAGGAGTGGAGAAAGAAGAAGAGAATCAAGAAAAAAAAAAATTCACTCTCCTTTACCTGCTCCCCCCGCCTCCCAAAACCTTAAAAGGGCTTGGGAGACCTGGTCAACTTTCCGAAACATCTGAATCTTTTTACAGCCCTCCGTTCATTCCCTGGGCCAGCTGTTGGGGGGTGGGGGGGCAGAGGAGGGAGGGAGAGGGGGAGAGAGAGAGAGAGAGAGAGAGAGAGAGAGAACAGTCCCGCGAAGGGAGGAGGGAGGCAGAGCAGGCCGGCGCGGAGCGCGCAGCCACCGCCTCCTCGCCTCTCCAAACTCCCGGGCCAGGCGCGCGGTGGCGTCCTCGCGCTCTCGCTCGCGCCCCCGCCCGTCGCCCGCGCAAGCCAGGCATGAATGCTGAGACTTGCGTCTCTTACAGCGACTCGCCGGCTGCTGCCATGGACGCCTACTACAGCCCGGTGTCACAGAATCGGGAGGGCTCGTCGCCTTTTAGGGCATACCCCAGCGGCGATAAGTTCGGAACAACTTTCCTGTCCGCTGCCGCCAAAGGGCAGGGATTCGGGGACGCCAAGAGCCGGGCCCGCTACGGCGCGGGGCAACAGGACCTGGCGGCACCCCTGGAGAGTGGCGCCGGGACGCGGGGCTCCTTTAACAAGTTCCAGCCCCAGCCTCAAGCACCGGCGCCTCAACCGCCGCCGCAGCAGTCGCCCCCTCAGCCTCAGCCTCCAGCGCCGCAACCGCATCTCTACTTGCAGCGAGGCGCCTGCAAGACGCCCCCGGACGGCAGCCTCAAACTTCAGGAAGGCAGCGGCAGCCACAACGCGGCCTTGCAGGTCCCCTGCTACGGTGAGTGCACGTGCAGGTCCCTCGGGGCTGGGGACCCCAGGGCCCGCGGCTTCGACACCCCTGAAATACTTTAGGCTTGCGGGAGGCAGGAGTTGGCTGGCTGGGGAAATGCGGGGCCGAGCGGTGGGTGAATCCGAGTTGAAAAAGGGGATCGCCTGCTCCAAGGGGACCAAGGTATCCGTCCACCCCGCTTCATATTTATCCCCGCCACACACACGCACACACACACAACGCACGGCCAAGGTCGCGGAGCGTTCTAGCTGTTAAACTCTACCTGGAGTTGTTTTACCCCGACTCCGCCGTTTGCCCAGCCACTCGCTTTGCGCTGCCCGCGGGTGCATTGAAGCGGATGCTGCCCACCGGCTCCAGGCGTGCGGCTGGAAACAGTTGCGGCTCAGCGCTCAGGCACTGGGCACCCTGCTGCCAAGGCCCCGCTCCCCTCCGGCTTGGAGGCTCCACCCGCGGCGCCACAGGTGGGAGCGTTGCAGGTGCGGACCCAGCTGGGAGCTCAGAGCGCATTCGGCGGAGCGCGCCCCGATGCCTTGGAACAGGGGCGGCACACGAATATGGGTCCACAGACACCTGGGGCCACGAAAGACCCGAATCCGGGGGACTCAGAGCGCGGCTCGCTGCGAGGAGGTGGGCAGGCCAGAGTTCCCGAGCGTTTCTCTCTCGCAAGCCCAGGACGGTGGCTGGCCTCGGAACAATGGTATAGGGCCGACCCCAAAGGGAGGCAGGAAACCGCAGACCTCCAGGTGGCTCAGTGCTGGGGGCAGAGTGAAGTTTCTGGGTCCTGATTTGGGCCCACAAGGAACTCAAGGCCTAAATGACCTCCAAGCCCCCTTGAACGCAGGCCTGGGCCCCCAGAGCGCAGCGACCATAGTGGAGGAGACAGCCTCTCAAGGCCGGCCGGAGTCCAGAGTAGACCAGGAGCCGAGGCCTTCTCTTCCACAGAATCGAGATTGGTGAGCCCCAAGCTGGCAGCGAGGGAAACCAAGAAAAGTGGGGAAAACTTTCTCTGGACTAATAGCCCTAGGTACATAGTCCCCCCACTGAGGCTTTGGCCTTCAGGCAGGGCCCTAGATGAGCTGGTGCTGACAGGGCGATGGCTTTGGCTGAGCTGATCCAGGCGGGATGGAGAGGCATCAGGCCTGGGACAGAGGTGGGACACAGTAGAGGCCTTGGCAGATGGAATAACCTTTGGGAAACAGCCCATGGCAAAGCACTTTCTTACACTCAAACTGGCTCTCCCACAGGCTCCGAATTAGTTCATTTGGTAGTTGCTGACACGCACAAACGTTCACACAATCATATGCCTGTCTACACATTGCATTCTAGACACACGCACACAAACACAAAACCCAACTCATTAGCTAACGTGGTCACACATCAAGTACACTCATTCGTGTAGCCTTGAACATAGTCTCACACTTTCAAACCCAGAGGACAGGGCTGAGAACAGATTTAGAAAGATCCGGTGGCCTTTCTCCACTTCCTCCACCTTTCCTCTCCACCTTCCTGTTGGAATGAGATCAGGCACTCAGATCACAGACACAGCTCCACACAGGTGCTCCTTCCACACTCAGGCAGTGGGGGTTTCTCAGCCCTGTCCATGTGCACTGGCCTGCCTCCTGGCCTCGCCCAGGCCCCTCCTCGTCCATGTCATTTGGGACTATTAGGTGAGAACAAGTCACAAACTGGGAGACCTATGAAGGTTCATTGTACAAAGCCAGCAGACTCATGTGTTTTCTCTCCCACGGCTCTGGATTTTCATGTTCGAAAGAAATTCATCAATGAGGCTTCTGAGGAGGCTGAGATTTTAGGCAAGGAGAGATCCCAAACCGCTTCCACTCTCTTGTTTGGAAGAAGCCTTCAGGTTCAGAGGGAAAGGGGAAAGGGCTGGCCTCCTCTGAGCATCCTCTCTGAGCTCTTCTGGGCCCTCACATGCCAGCCTGACCCTTCCTCCACTTGTGTTAGCCATTGAGCTACCCACAGGGTGACCTATGAGCAAATAACTCTTCTACACCCTGTCCTCATCTGCCTCGTGGGGAGATAATACTAAGGCCTCATGGGTGCTAAATGTCTCCTGTGGAGACAGCAGGAGTCTAGCCAACTGTCCTCCACGCTTCCATCACCAGCCTCTGTGTTGTGAACCTGTGAGCACCCAGTTCTGAGGACAGGAAAGGCGCCTGCCCCTGCTCTGAGCAAACCCATAAGCTGCATGTTGGGACAGCAGGCAGCCCGGAATAACTGACAGGACCGCACTCCCAGGCTGCCCAAGATGGAGGCACTACTCAGGGCAAAGCCACAAACGACAAACAGCTCTGTTTATTCTTTTCCTTCTCTCGGCACCAGCTTCCCTGGCTAGGAGATTTCTGGCCCTACTACAAAGAAATTAGGCACATTAGGTCGAAGATGAGGGACCCAAGGCACCAAAAGATGAGGCTCTGCCCTTTACAGAGGCAGCTGGGAGAAGAGCCTCTGAAGTTGGCTCTCTAGATGGTCAGCAAGGAGGGAAACTGAGGCACATGTGGACAGCTATTCCCTCCCACACTTATCAGAGTGTATATTCTAAAGGGGAAGAATTGCGGCTCAAAAAAAAAAAAAGTCTTAGGGTGTTCCCAGGAGCTTGGTGAAAGTGGGGGCACTGGGCTCTGGGCTGGGCCTTGGCTGATCACAGTCCCCACTTCAGGTAGCTTTGACTTTGCAATCTCCTTCCCAGCTCGGTTGGTCCTGGGACCGGATACCAGCTCCTGGGTCTGCGTAACTACACCGAGTGAACGGGAGGCAAGGAAGGCTTCAAGGCCTCCTCCCCGACTTTAGCCCCGGGAGCCACTCCCGAGTCCAAGGGGTCCTCAGCCAGTGAGATGCGGGCCTGGGGGGCGCGCCAGGGCCATGCGAAGGGAGTGCGCGGCGGGGAAGCCGACTCGGTCTCCACCCGCGGAACTTCTAGTTGCCGAAAGTGGAGGTGGGAAGAAATCCTCGTAGGCTGCAGTCGTCTGTACCCCTCACCGGGGCCTCCGTTTCCCTGTCAGTAGTGAAAGGGCGACGAACAAGATGAGTTGGCAGTCCCCTCCCGCAGAAAGACCTTCGCGTTTTTACGAAAAAGCCGGGTTCTCTCGCCTGATGCAATCCCGACCTCGCCAGGGTCCGGTTCCACACTTCGGCCTTCCTAAGTCTCTGCCTGTCCCTAGCCCGATTTTGGCCGCGTGAGCCCCAAGAGACACGCCAGGTCGGAGAAGACATTTCTCAGCTGCATGAAGAGCCTCCTCGCTGCTGGGGCGGGGGCTCCGGCACCTCGACCCCAGACCCACGGCCGACTTCCCGGGCCGCCGCGGGCACGCCAGGCCTTCGCCATGCGCCCCGGGACGCTTCGGGGAGCAACCCTGCTCCCTCTTCTCTTTCGCTTTCGATTCGGTGCACGCAGGTTTTCGTCGCTAGCGGATTGCTACCTTCCCATCCAACGGCCTCGAAGGCAAGGCTCTCAGCGCAGAGGTCTGGGGAGACGCGGGCCGGGCTGGAGACCCTTGAGGTACCTCGGAGGGGCTGGTCCTGATTTGTTGAATTAGACGCAGTGCTCGAATGCTAAGGATATTCATTTCCACGCACTGACAGAAGCCACACACCACAAAATATGTCTACTCCGCCCCGGTCGGGTCGTATTCGAATTTAGTCTACGAACCAGGATGTGTTTTTGAACGGGACCCTCAAAAAATACATCGAGAAAGGGAGATGCGGGCAGAAACTGTAAGAGCCCGTGGGTGATTGAGGATGATCCAGGGAAAACAAGGAGCTGTGACATCGCAGACCCTTGGTCAATTTGAGGGTCGGGGGAGGAACGGGGGCTGGGAAGGAAGATGCTTTTAATTTTTCACTTCGTTAATCTCTATAGCCACCACAATGCAGTCTAAACACATAGGCTCTTAAATAGAAAAACAGAAGGCCAGGATTAAAAGTCTGGTATTTTGAATCAATCGATTTGCAGAAAGTTTTCTTTCCTATAAATAATTTATATACAGCGAAGCACACAGCTAAGTGGAAAGTTCAAATAACTGTTATATATGTGAACGCCAGTATAACTACCACCTGGATCAAGACACCCCGTTATGAGTTGTGTTAATACACAAAGACTTTGGGGAAGAAAATTTTTGTAAGTTGTTTCAAGAAAATTGCATAAGAGACTTCGGAGAGCCGGGGACCCCCTCCCCCCTTGTGCCGACCGTGGTATTTCTTGAGTAGGGTGACCTTGTACGCCCGGGCATTTGCGCGGTCCCGACTCGGAAAGCGATATCACCATGGGCTTCGCCAAGAACCTCGCCACAGCCGCCCCCGGGCTATTCCGGAGTTGCCGAAGCCCTCGGCCATGCGCGCTGCAAAATGCGGCCGTGGTAGGAAAACGAGTTAAAACAGCATACGTAAAATTTCGCCAAAGTCCCCGAGGGCTTTCGTTTTGGAGAGCAGCTGGGCACACTTTTCTGGGGACGTACTTTTATCTCGGCCTCAGCCGGTTTCTCTCTTCCCGCAGCTTTGCGCACGGCTTTGTTTGGGTGGCAATTTGAAATGTGAAATGGAAATACATGGGTCTTTGCAGTTACGGAGGGGAGGGGAGGTTGGAGTCTCGCGTGTTTGTCTGGGGTTCAGGCTACTCCGCTGATCTCTGGATCAGGGTGCCCAAAGCGACAGGCGGGGAAAGAAGGGGAAGACTGCTCGGAGCGCTCAGGGCACCGCCGGCATAGGATGCGGAGCCGGAAAGCCGCGACTCAGCGGTGCGCCTCTCCCTGCAAAGAGAGGAGAGTTGGTGGTGGCGCGCGGGGCTCCAAGAGAATGCTGGGTGGGCGAGAACTCCCTGCACCCGGAGCTTCAGCATGCTCCGCTCCCACGACCCCAAAGGACCTTGGCCCAGGCACTGTTTGGGGTGGGGCAGTGAGAGCCCGGTCATGTGTCTGGACGACGACTGCCAGGCGCCACCTGGCCACATACCCCCGCAGCTACAGGGCTCC